CAGGCGGGTCTTGAACCTGCGGGCTCAGGCAATCCACTCACCTCAGCCTCCCAAAGGGGCGGGATTACAGGCTGAGCCACCGAGCCCGGCTCTTTGGATTCTTTGAATGACTTACAGCCATGCTCACCCCTTCCCCAAAGTGGGACCACAGGGGTGCTCAGATCACCCAGGCAGCAAGGGGATGGACCTTCTGGGGTGACAGCCCCTCACTCCAGGAGCCTGGGCTGGCGGCGTGGAGGGCTGTGTGAGGACCCGGGAGCTGCAGGGAACGTGGGCAGAGCTGGGGTGTTCTTAGAAGTCACCTTCCCCCATGGTCCAAGGTAACATTCTCCTCCCATCCCCCATGGCTGCTTCCCCAGCCGGGCTGGTGGAACTGGGCTTCGCAGAGGAGGCCTGTCATGGGGGGACTTCCTGCTGCCAGTGTACACGCCGCTGCCCGGCCACCAACGTCTTCTACGGTGACCTGTTCCTCTTCTGTTACCTGTGCTGCACTGCCCTGCAAGTTTTTAGGAATCAGCTACCCGGGGAAAATAACTTTGACTCCTGTGAGCTACCTTCCAAGAATAGTCCCCCAGAGACAGAAAAATCAGGGTGTCAAATTGGGCATGGTGGCTCACGCCTGTCATCCCAGCACTTTGGGAGGCTGAGGTGAGAGGATTGCCTGAGCCCATGGGTTCGAGACCAGCCTGGGCAATTTGGTGAGACCTCATCTCTACAATAAATCAAAAAATTAGCCGGGCGTGGTGGTGCATGCCTGTAGTCCCAGCTACTTGCAAGGCTGAGGTGGAAGGATCGTCTGAGCTCAGCAGGTCGAGGCTGCAGTGGCCTAGGTGACAGAGTGAGACTCCAACAAAAAAAAAGAAAGAAAATCAGGGTGTCTCCACCTTAAGACTGCTGCCCATCTCTGCAGGGTTTCTGGCTGTTTAGGGGGCATTTTTTTTCACCCAGACTGGAGTGCAGTGGCCGCTCCTGGCCACCGCAGCCTTGACCTGTTGGGCTCTGGCAATCCTTCCACCTCAGCCTTCCAAGTAGCTGGAACTACAGGCGTGCACTACCACACCCGGCTAATTTTTTGATTTATTGTAGAGATGAGGTCTCACCAAGTTGTCCAGGCGGGTCTCGAACCCGCAGGCTCAGGCAATCCACTCACCTCAGCCTCCCGAAGTGCTGGGATTACAGGATGAGCCACCGAGCCTGGCTGGGAGGCATTTTTCTGGGCACATGACTGCAGAAAGGAACATCAGCTCCTTGACTGGAGACTGGGACACAACCAGGCTGCACATAATCAGATGATTTGACCCATTCAATTCTAGACCATGACTTCCTGTTTCCAGATTTGACATCGTAATAGAAATAGAAGGTGAGATTACTCCTGAAATTGTGGGAAAGGGAGACGCCCCAGAGATTGCAGGGAGCATGGGTGAAGCCCTTGAGGAAGAACCAGGTTTCATGGCAGAACATGAATCCGGGGAAGATAAAATGTTCCAGAAGGTTAAAACTCAGGTAGCTCTTGAGCCAGAACAGATTCTTAGATATGAGAGAGGTATTTCCCCTTAACTGGATTTCTGGCGAAAATATTCCTCCAAAAAAGGATATTCCAAGCCAGGCTCGGTGGCTCAGCCTGTAATCCCGTGCTTTGGGAGGCTAAGGTGAGTGGACTGCCTGAGCCCGCGGGTTCGAGACCTGCCTGGGCAACTTGGTGAGACCTCATCTCTACA